GTTTGACGATAGAAAAGAGAATTCATTCAAATTTCAAAGACTTTATTTCGAAATATATTTCTCTCGCGATTGTTTCGACCGATAAAAAATAGTTCGTAAATAGTTCGTGAAAGAGAACAGAAATTCCAGTGGTCGCAAATATTTCTTTGCAAACATTTTAACTCGAGCAAACAAACCCGAATCATATCCAGAATAAAGCGCGGAATTAAAGACAAGAAAGAGAGGAGCGAGCAAATCAAGCTTGCAACGATCCAATAAAACAGAAAAAGAGAAAAAAGAAAAGAGAAAAGAAAAAAAAGAACCATTAGCCATTGCTCCTCGCTCTGAATCCTTATCCAATCCAAATAACCGAGCGCTCGAATTACAGTGGAGAGGATAGAATCGGCGAGGGCGACGGTGAAGAATTCCACGTATGACAAAGGTGATGGAGGGGCGAACACCACGGTCGTTCTCAATGCTTGCGGCGCATCCTCGAGATTAAGGCGAGGATTTCCCTCGTCCTCCCACGGATACTACCACGGCTCTCCCCAGGGAGTGGCGTCTAGGGTGAGAAAGGTGGCGACCGAATATCAGTGGGCAGGGGCATCGGAAAGTGGGTCGTCGGATTTTTTACTGACTGGGCGAGGGATCGCACCACATCTATTTAATCGTTTCACACACGTGAAAGACGACATTTCGGCGGCCGAAATTTGTGGAAAAGTGGAAAAAAAAAGTCCGTAGCGCGAGATCCAATTTTTGGATCTTTGTTAAGTCGATAAGATATCGAGTGACGGGGACGCTCGAACCTCCCCCTCTCCCCCCTTCCGGGATTATTATATCTTTACGATATTTTTTTTTTTTTCTTTGAAAGATTGAAAGATGAGAAAGATAATGGGACTGAGAGTTTTGACGATTAATGAGATGTTTCGTTATTTGCTTCTTTTTTTCTTTTTCGTAATTTTTCTGCGAATTTTTAAATTTTAAGTCAAGTAAATATGGAGCATCGCGTGCTTGTTTTTTTCCTTTCATTCTGACGTTAATTTAAATTTCTAGATTTTTTTTTTCCTTTATTGTTTCATCTGCGGCTATCAGAGATGTATTAATTAATATTATGGGAAACTTTTGAATAATTAACTTATTAAATTATAGATTATATCGAATAGATTATAAATAACAATACGATTTCATAACGTGAGAAAAGTTAATCGTGTTTAATTGTGAAATGGATTGTTACGTATTAAACATTCTTTAAGAATAGATAGCCAGGATATTTTAATATTTTCTGAAAAATCGTATTACGATGGTATTTATCTGAATAAACTTCATTGTTTCGCAATTTTGAAAAATGTCGAACTTTTTATATAAAATTCGTTAAAAAGTTTTTCCCCATGCTTCAATTTCTCTCAATTTTCCAACGATGAAAAATTGTCGGTTATCACTTTCCAAGAAAATTATTCTCTTAAAACAATAATAATAAAATAATAATAAAAATATCAATCCGGAATATCTACGTTCAAAAAGATTGGATTGCTCAGTCTTTAAATTAAATTAGCACAATTTTTCACGCTTTCCTCGCCGACTTTATATTACATTTTTTGCAATAGATGGAATGTTTGATGCCGTTGAAACACGTGCGGCCATCGAAATAAGAGAAGCCGCTAAACGTGATAAAATATTGCGTGCATCCGTTTCGTAAGATTGAAAAATGAAATATCCAAAACTGTTCCATCAACGGTGTTAAGGAAAGGATGAAGGATCGCGCTGTATCTAAGCACATAACAGTTTTCATAAAAATCCATAAATTCGTTGTAAAAAGGAGAAAAAAAAAAAAAAAGAAAGGAATTCTAGAAATTCATCGAGTTCACCGATTTCTCGACAAATAATAATTACACTTGGTACATTTTTTTATATCTATTTTCCATAAAAGAATATCTTTACGATCTTAGAGAAATTAGAATTATTATATATTTATAAAAATGAGATTTTTTTTCAATATTTTGCAGAAAATTGCAATTGTTTTAATAGATTATCGTAATCTCAAATATAAAATTCAACTGTTTTTCTCACTTGGCCATATTTTTCTAAATATCGATATGTTCTTTCATACACATACACGCGCACACATATACATGTGAACACATACGCATCTAAATGCTCGACGGCCAATTTGCGTCAATATTAGTTCTCGTCTGCCACATAAATCGATTTAATCTTTGACTCCGTATCTCCTTACAGGGAGAAATTTTTATTCATCCCTGTTTTATTTGTTCATTATTTCAAAGTTTTTTTTTTTTTTTTTTTTTTTTTAAAAAAAAATTAATTTTTTTTTCAAAAAAAAAAAAAAAAATTTTAAAAAAAAAAATATTTTTTTTTTTAAAATTTTTTTTTTTTTTTTTTTTTTTTTGTAACGAAAATACGATATTTTATTGACTGTTCACGTTCGGATTTCAACTTTATCCTCTTTATTAAAATACGCGTAAAAATATCATAGAAAAATAAAATGCCCTTTTGATTAGGTTAAAAATAAATTGAAAAATCTATTCAACCGTTTATTAAAAAATGTTTGTTAAAAATGAATTTTATTTTTCTTTTTTCTTTCTTTCTTTCTTTCTTTCTTTCTTTTTTATTATTATTATTATTATTTTTTTAATCTAGTTTCCGCATATCACACAAATTTCTCTTCACTTTTTTAATTTTGCCGTAAATAAAATACGAATTGTATCAACAATTTTTTTTACAATATTTTCGATCGTATTTGCGAAGTAACGGAATTTTCAAGAACAATCCATTAAAGTTATGAAATTTGGAGGATTTTAAATTTCGTTTCAATGATAAAATTCGTATTTCATTTATTTCATTTATTACATATTTCATTTCCCTCGATAGAAAATAGAATCGACTTTTTTCGGAAATATATTTTAAAAAATTTCATCTATTAAAAGTTATGATCTAGATTTTTTCGAAAATTAAATCTTTTTTTAATCTTTTCATAAAGATACGGGTTCCGAGGATGAAAGTATCCAGTGTGTTCGGTGGAAAATTAAAGGGATCGGATTTTTCCAATGAATCGAGAGTACAGGCTCGCAGCAATGGAAATAATTGTGTTTCGAGGGATACGAAAGATTCCTCCAACGAGGAGCAACAAGATTCGGGCTGTCCATTCAATAGACAACACATTATACGTAGCAACTACATGGGCAAAAGTATCGAAGCCAAGAAAAAAGTAAGTAAAATTAATGTTTAAATAAATCTAGAATTGATTCTTAAAAATCCAAAAAAAGGATTGCTCGGATCCTTATCCTCCAAAATTAAATATTTAATATAAATTTTTTTTTGCGAAATAATAATTTTAGATATTTTGAATAAATCTATTCTAGAATTCTAAAATTAATTTCTATAATATTATTTTGATTAATTTTCGAACTCTCTCATATTTAAATAAATCTTCCATCAAATTTTTCTTTGTCGAATTTTCTTCTATCACTTATAAATCAAAAAATATTGATATTAATCTTAGTTATATTTTTTAAATATTTTGAATAAATCTAAAATGTTAAAATAGTTATTAAAATTCGTGGATTAAATTCTAATGGCTTCTCTCAGAACTCGTATTAAAGAAATACGAAATTATTTCATATTTTTTTCTAGTCGGTAATAATAAGTGACTAGTCTCGTCGCTTACGAAGTTACAACTTCGTAAATATAAAATGGATTTTTTTCAATTTTGCGTTCAAAAATGATTTCACGAGAAAGGATTTTCGTGTACATGCACATCTTTAATCCTACTTCTCGATATACGTTCGATCCGTGGAAAATCCATTTATCTAACTTCTTGGTTTTCCTTATCGCTTGTGAATGACAGGAGGCTGTTGTATAATGCACATCCATTTTACTTGCGGCATCTCGAACATTGTGACGCGTATCAGGCTCGATTAAAATCTTCAGACAAAGATGTCAACCGATAAATTCTCATGATCCACCACAATATTAATTTTCTTTCGTATTTTCAAATTAATTCCTCTTTTTTCTTCTTCTTCTTCTTTTTTTCCTTTTCAATTTTACATCGAATTTATTGCCGTGTTATTAATTCTAGGTTTTTCGTCTTTTTTTTCCCCCCCTTCCCTTTCCTTGAACCAATTACATTTTATGATAGATATAAGTTTTTCTTGGAAGCAATTTAGGCTACTTCTATTTGACGTTTAACATCACTTTAAACTCAAAACTTTCCATGTTTCTCATGATCGGTCCTTACCTTCTTATCGCAAAAGTTGCAATATCGTGAAAACTGTTTTTCTCCTTTTTTCGTTAAATTTTTTATTCCACTTCGAAATGATCCCTTCTTATTTTAATCGTACTCCCTTTTTTTCTTTAATGTTCACATTTTCCTTAACCTAATTTTTCAAAGACAAACTAATATTTGTAATTTATTTCTTTAAGTCTTCTCAAAGTCTTACTTTCTTTTCTTTTCCTTTTTAATCCCGAAAAAGAATGATCCTTGTCTCTACCGCAATAGAAAATGGAGTAATCTTACTTTAATTTCTTTAAGAAAAATAAAAAAGAAAATTTGTATCTTTAAATTATTTTTAAAGAATTTGATATTACAATACGGAAATGCGTAATTAAAATCGAAATTTCTGTACACCGTTTACCCAGTATCACGTTATGTAGTTGATCTCAATCATTTCTCCTCGCTCCTTTATTTTCCTGATAAATAATATGACAGGCCGTCTCGAAATATTCCATCTCTCCTGTTTGTTGTTCCCAGGTGATAAGGATGCTGTTCGTGATAGTGTTGGAATTTTTCGTCTGCTGGGCACCGTTGCACGTGATCAATACCTGGTATCTTTTCGCGCCAGATTTCGTGTATTCGACCGTCGGCAGCACGGGGATCAGCCTGGTACAATTGCTTGCCTACGTGTCGAGTTGCTGCAATCCGATCACGTATTGCTTCATGAACAGAAAGTTTCGTCAAGCGTTCCTTGGCCTCTTCGATTGTCACCGTTGTTGGAGGTAAACGTCTTACTTCAACCCGCTCTCCCTTACGACAGATGATTTAATCGAAACAAGAGGTATCTCGTCAACAACCGATCACGATCCTCGAATTATAAATTTTTTTTTTTTTATTACACAGAGTTCTTTCTCTCTCTCTCTGTTTCTTTGATCGACTCTTGGATCCTTGTTTACCCTCCTCTGTATCGCTTCAATTTTTCCCCAATTTTTCTCTCGGTTTGCTTCGCACGAGGGAGCTCCGTTGTTCGATTGTTACGAAAAGGAGGAATTCGTTCGAAAAAAAAAAAAAAAAGAAAAGAAAAAAAATTGAAAAGTATCGATATATACTTTGTATGAAATTGCGAAGGGGTGTTGCGAGTCAGCCCTTGGGCGAGACGCCAATTTTTCGCGCAGCATTATTACTCTTAACGCTTCCGTCGGTATCAAAAAAATGATTCGATACACAAAGTTCAAAGTTTGCGAGTTGGAACATACGAGCAAATGGACGAGCGATGGAATAACGATCAAATAACGGCAACACGAGTTGATCAAACGTATATTATAAATGGACGAGTAATGAAACAATTTTGTTTGTTCCCCGAAAACGTTAAACAATACAAGTAAGTACACCAATTAAAATTCAAAGACAAAGCGGTGTTTATCGAAAACGGTAATCGAAAACGGTGGGCGATCGCAACGAGATATATCCTTCAATTCAATCCGATCCGTTTCTGCGGATAATTTCGCGACGAAATTATTACCCCGAAATGTCCAGTTCGGCCGAGTTTTCCAATTCGATTTTCGATCGATAGAAATCGATAGATAGAAATCGAGGAATTTTTATTATCGGTCAAATTCTTCTCACGCGCGAAAATTTCCGTTCCGATATTTTACAGAGTCGGGTGTAGAAACAGCGATATCGCGATGGCGTCGACCAGAAATGCCGCCCAAGCGGGGAACAACAGCGAGCTAAGCGGAAACGAATCGGCAGTTTATCTTGGAAAAGCTTCCCTCGCCACCAGATCAGGTAATGTAATCTTGTCTTGATTGATATCTCGTCGAGGAAAAAGAGAAAAAAAAAAAGAAAAGAAGGAAAGAAATGGTTGCTCGATGATATACGCGTTGTAGACTCAGTGAAAACTTTGTACAGAAACAAAGCAATAAAAGGGATGAAAGGAACGTGTAAATGAATTCGATCGATTTCGTTTCGATGTAATTTTCGAATTTATCTCATTCAATTATCGAAATATTTCCACTAATTTTAACGCCATTGATATCGATTAATAATAATAAATAGAATATATATATAAATCATTTTATTCATTCAACAAATAGATAATAAACGATAGATAAATATAAATTTTCATTGGACTTATAATTAGAGATATTTTCTACATCATTATTCTCTAGACTCTTCTCTCAATTTCAACAAGGGAGAAGATAAAAGTGTCCCCGAAAGAAGTTCGATTGATCAAATCAATTCCTTTAATTGCATTAATTGTACGGATATTACTGTTATTCTCGATGATCAAAGGAAAACTACTTTGTTTCCAGAAGTAGTACGGCTGTTGGAGGAGGAGGACCGCGTCTAGTATAGGCAGAACGTGTGTTTCACTGAGAATACGAGACCAAACGTTTCTTTGTCCCATACCGGTAACGAGCAGGACGATTTCTTCTTAAAGATATCTTGGCGTCCATCCACGGACAGAGTTCCTTTCTATTCTGGAGGGAAATGCCTCTCTGTTAACGATCTGCACCGTTCCTCGTCGCGATCATCCTGCGTCGACAATCTTAATTTCCTTTACGACTAAGATGGCGGCACGATCTTGTAATTAAATTGTAAGTCTCGTCGTCCGAGTTTATGATATGATTTTCAATAAAGCAAGATAATAATACAATTGAAGAACATTTTTTTTTTTTTCTTTTTTTTGGGGAGGGTAAATCGTTTTTAACCCTTTGAGTCTTGGTAGACGAAATAAGATGCAAACGAAAGAATCTTTTTTTTTTTTTTTTTTTGCGATTACAAAAAATATGAAATTATAAAAGATGCAATCTGTGATTTTCTTTTAATTTTTTTTTTTTTTTTTTTCGTATGAAAAAGAGCATTACTCATGGAGATTTAAAATATTTTTTTAAGTCTTTTTTTTATTTCGTTCGTAAAATGATATAGTTTTTTCAACGAGGGATAGATTTATTTGGAATTGAATATGTTTTTCGAGAGATAAATAATTTCGATAACGGGGGAACGTTTATTCGATACGTAATATTTATATACGTAATGCAATATTTACCTATTTTATATAATTTCATGATATAATATGAAACAAAATACAATACGACGGATAAAGAACTAATAATATGCATATTCTCTCTTTTTTATGATGCGTTTTAATGTTCTTTTCTTTTTTTTTTTTTTTTTTTTTTTTTTTTTTTTTTTTTTTTTTTTT